TTAAAATAGGCTTATCACATTCTTGACACGCCTCACAATCCTGGATAGTATCATTGGATTTAATAGATGAAAAGTCTAGTTCTTCACAAAGAATATCTTCAGGAAGATATTTTAGTATATTCAACGCAAGGGATTTAAGGGATCTGTCACGCTTCAGTTGTACTTTGTAAATATCACTGCTTTGGATATTGTCAGTTTGATCTTCTGTATCTGATTCCTCTGGCTTCTTCATATTGTTATCAACAGGAGTATTCAGGCTTTCGACTCTAGCGGAGCTCTCTTGATTTTCCATAGTAATGTTTTTTCTGAAAAAAAAAAATATTATTTCTAACTTATTTTATAGGGTCACAGGGGTAAGATATTGCCGGATTTTTATTAGAGATTCCATTTGGACCGGGCAATTACATACAGCATGGCATCATTCATTAGCCCTTGCAAATCAATAAAAAAAAAGACTACTATACTCCCAGTTAAGGTTACGATCGTCGCAAAATATGAAAGTCTCTGAAATAAATATGGTAATCCTAATAGTCGATTAATTTGCCGATTCTGAATGAAACAACATTCTGAAATTGACCTTCATTAGTATGGACGATCGTTGCAAATCATTGAACAAATATGGTAACTTTAATATCTACCCTCTGCTCATATTAAAAAAAAATAATCGATTAATCATTATTGGATCGGATCTCCAAATAACTGCACAGTTGGGATAATTGATCATGCTAGATTTACCTTCAGAAGGATTTATCCATTTCAATTAATCTGATTAGAAGATATGCCTTGATAATTATTTTGCGCAAATTCTAACTCTCGTGCTAATCTATCCAATGTTAATTTAAGCCCAATTATATATACCTCTTGCTTGGCTTCAGGTTTAACACCATTTTGAAAAACCTTTTTTATATTTTTATTTGTACTATCTATAATGTCCTCTAGACCAGTTATTTCGGTTGCCATATTTGTATGTTTCTACTATAGCAATAGAAAAACTTTAATTAATGGAAATATATTCCTTAGAATTTTTTTTATCCGAAAAAATATTTGTTATAAAACATCTATGCATGCTTCCTTTAGGGTTCCTTGATACGAAGCTTAGCTTTCATAGCCCTTTCTTCTGCTTCTTCAGGAGATATTTCAGATGCTATCAGGCGTTTATATAGTCCAATTCGCCAATGTCCATATGGGAGGGTTCGAATTCCATCAAGCAAGATCCAGCGCTTATTATCATATGGATTTAACCCTATCTTATTTACTCTTTCCAGATATATTTGATGGTCATAACTGCGGAGACCATACATATCATGTCGGGTTAGCTTCCTAGTCCTTAGACATTCTAGAAATTTATCATGTCGAAGCTCCCTTTTAACCACGCATTTCTTAACACCCTTTGCCTTTTGGATGCCATGCTTCTTTTTAGGATCTTCAGAATCTGGGTCATCGGGAGTTTTAGGATCATGACTTACTGGAAGAACTGAATACATCTTTGGCTTTAAACATACTGATTCGTTTATTGGATTTCCCTTTGTCTCATCCTTCATCAGAAATAAGTCACCTGAATAATCAAGATCGAAAATATCTGGTCTTTCTGCTCGATCTTTATATATGTCTTCAGTTTCTATCGACATGATGAGCGAGTCTGTATCCGTATAAAGTAGACGGGCCTTATCTCCATAACGAGGCTTTATGTAACCATACCAAAAGTTGAACATCATGGCCTTGCTAATATCGAGAATTGCCTGCCCTACATAGATTAGCTTATTTAGAGTCACTGTACCTTTTAGCATATGTACAGCTGTTATGTCTCCCTCAAATGCTTTAAAGCCTACATATAATGGCGAACTTGCTAGGCGTCTGATTTTTTTATCTTCTTCTGTTCGAAGTAATTCAACTCTCATATGTTTACGGACATTCTCCATCTGTTTTCCGAAGACAGCATTGTTTTTTAGCTTATAATACATAACCCCAAACTCATCTCCATTAGCTTTAGCAATCTTACGCTTTCGAATGTTTTCCTCAATATATTCCTTCATCCATGGAGATTGCCGGAATTTTAAAGCGCTATGAATCTTTGTAACTTTCAATCCAAATTTCATGTATGTCTAAAGAGCTCGATAGTGAACTACATAATTCTTCTTATTATAAAGGGTCTGAAGTAATTTCTCTCCAGACACGTATTTTCCATCTCCAACTGCCTTGTCACGTATTAATTTTTCATTATATAAGCTAAGCCAGTTTTCTGGCACTATTTGCTTTTCTGGCGATAAAGGAAAATCTGCAAAGAAATCGTGTAAGTGCACTGGGACCTCTAAATCAACTTCTAACATATAACCTATTTTCGCATCTGGTGAAATGCTTTGTATATTGGGAACATCTTCTGGACTTATTTTGCCTAAAATCTCTGTAGGCATATTTTGAGTCATGGCACCTGAATACATGGCATTCATATCCTCATACATAACATAAGTTTTTGGTTTACTAGAATCATAGTCAGAACATTTCGGATTATTAGCTTTGGCATATCGATGACTTGCCATTGTTATCCCTCCTCGAATGCCACTCTCAACCATTA